GAAGCCTGAAGTAGTGCAGGAAGTGTGTGATTACTTGAATGTAAATGATAGATATATCATGACATAAAGTCAATTACTGTAGATTGATGTGATTTTTCAGAGCAAACATCTCGGTAATTTATAACGACCTCACTGACTGCGACCTCACTGGAATCATGGCTAATAAGTAGGGAAATCATCCCCCAAAGAATCTTTAAATTAATTAGGTTAGTGAAACAATGTAATTTAACCCATATATATATAATGATATATAATGAAAAATCCTGTTAAAATTGAGGATTTGATGGTATCTCCATTTTAGGCAACCTGAATATCAGAAGGTGTCCACTTTCGAGGTCATCACCGCAGGTGGAGGAGCTCAAAATCCTGTGTGGCCCGGGGCCTTGGAACATACGGGAAAACATGGGGAACATCCATTACGCATGGATACTGTATTTTGTTAATGTGAAAGTCATTGATCACTTGGGGATGTTCGATATCGGACTCTTTGTTTACTGGAGAGATATCATGTCTTGGGGAATTTGAAGGAGATTTTTATATAATATAGTATGCAGATGGAGTATGCAACCCAGTAAATTGGCTGCTAGGATGCTGGCTATTGCATACGGTTTCCATACTTGATTCAATCTTCCAATCATTGCATGCTATTTCAATGTATCAATGGCCACCCAATCTATTGTTCAAGGATTCATTTTCAGGACTGCCTCACTATGGGGCATACATATAAGTAAAACTACACAATACAATATAATTACAAATTTATGATTATACATGTACAATATGTGCATACATATACATATATATATATGTATATGTCATGCACATATATATATATATGTATATAATATGTACACCGTCCATCCAGTCGGCATAGACCATGCCATGGCTTGAGTTGGAAGACTCTTTAAATGGCGCCATGTTGGTTGGGGGATCATCGATATTCATGGTTTCTGCTACTGGTTGATGAACAAAGATGGGGCAAGCCCAATCCCTTTACAACGACTATTTTGCTGATAAACTGTATATTGGTTATACCAGTCGTTGCCCCTAAAAGAACACCAATTACCTATTGATCATCAGTCATTTATTATTCTCCTGGTTTCTTTTGATTTTGTTTCGAAAAAGGATACTTGATTGTCATAGAATTATATAGATTATATAGATGATGTGACAAATACGCTTGAAACCCTTGTATTTACTGGTTTGTTTTTGGCCATGGTTTCCTGTAAAATGTGTCCCTTCCTGTGGTCTTCCTGATTATCTACTCGAAAATTGCCATTACTAGCACAAAACAAAAACCAGATTCAAACATGTTAAAACCAGTTTCCCCAATTGTTGAAGCTTTAATAATATCTATAATAATCATCTATATTTAAGAAGAAATACAGTTTCCCCCATGTTTGATCACTTATTGAAACTTTAACCATTCGTTTTGTTAATACGTTCCATGTTCGTGACAACCCTGGCCGTCAAATTCCCCAGGCGACGGATCCGTGAGCGGCTGATTGGCGTGCCAGTGCCACGGCATAGAAAATTCGGATCTCAACATTTCAACCACCACATGGGGATTAATGTCTGAATCAGTTGACCAAGAAAACATCAGATGCATATTGAGAATCGAAGCTGATAGTGAACATCACCAATTGAGATCTATGTAGTTGCAGACAGACATTTATGGCCATATATACATATATAAATATATAGATCATGGTTCGTTGTAAACCGTTTGCTGTTGTCGCGTTACAGCAAGGGGTTTCAGCACAGCCCACAGATTTCAGCACGTGTCTTTGCGTATGTTTATCATGAACCACCAATTTCCGCCACCAATTTCCATGTTTTGCACCAATATTTTTGTAAATTTATATTTGGATGATATACCACCTTGAATATCCATCCATTAAGAAACAGATATCATATAATGTGATAAACCCACTGCAATAAACCATCCCCACTTTGTGTTTATTGTTGTGTATACGCCTAGCAATGAGATAAATAATAATAATGATAATAATGGCCCCAAATGGTTGGTTTTGTTGGGATGCTTTATGGCATTGGCTTTACCACATGATTCCCGTGGGAAATTTGAAATCTCTCATTTATAGTTGATGTTCACAGCTATCAACCTCCATTTAGTTTGTGGATTTCCCAGTTTGCGATGTCTTTTTAAAACCACCACACGATTATATCCCGTCTATTATCCCATTTATAGTTGGTTATTTTTAGCTATAAACATCCATTTTGCTGGATTTCCCTATATATTTTCCCTATTTTCCATAGATTTTCGCATGATTTCCTATGATTTTCCCATGCTTTTCCCATTAATCCTCCCATGTTTGTTGGATTTCACAGGACTGAGCGCCGCTGAGGTGACGAGCGCCAGCTGGACGGAAGCCTGTTGCGGCACGGCACTTCTTGCCATGCGAGGTGCGGCGATGGACATGTCATGAATGGGGATTGAATGACTGGGGTACAATGGGATTTCATGGGATTTTCTTTTTGGATTCATGTGATTTTTGACAAATGGGGATTTCATAGTGAAAAATTCATGGAATTTGACGGGATGAAAACAACACTCTCTGTTAATTGAAGGACAATCACCATGAAAGCAGGTAAACCATCGAGCGAAATAGATCATTTTCCATAACTATGTGAAATGTTCATGGGTTTTTTTCATGGGATTTGGGGCTATGGAGCACTGGCTCGACCTTGGAGCTATAATTACTTGGATCGTCCAAAGAGATCACCATCACCATCACCATCATCATCGTCGTCGTCGTCGTCCTCATCGTCATCGTTATCATCATCATCATCACCATCATCATCATCATCATCACCTTCAACATCAACATGCTCAGAAACACATGTTCTTATGTTGGTGTTCCGTTGTTTTTCTTTAAGACGTCATTGCCTATCAATCTGTCTAGCTATCCGGGCATGAATTATATAGTCCAATCCGCCAAGCATTTCATTACTCCCCGTAAAATCGAACTTTGAATGCTAAAAATGTTGCAGAAAACATGAATACATATATCCATTAAGGCATTGAATCCGGTTGCCTTAGATTGCTGATGGCCCACGGATGGCACGATAAGCTAACATCGTGACTATCCTTGCTGTTTGACTACTAATCATGTGTTTTGCTTGTAGGTACATGTGCGCCCTTTGGTGTCATCAAACATGGCTGGCTGGAAAACCAGTCATACATGGGG